CATGCCAGTGCTAGAGGGGTCTGGGGGCATGCCCCCCCAGAAAATTTTGAAATATTTAAGCCATTTTGGGCCAATATTTGAGCCGTTTTGGGGGGGGGCGACCGCCCCACCGCCCCCCCTGGCTACGCGCCTGTGCGTGCGTGCGTGCATGCGTGCCTACATGCGTTCGGGCATGCGTGAATGTGCCAGCGTGTGCGGGTAGGTGCAACTGTGCGTGCGTGCCTGCAAGCGTGCCGACATGCGTTCGGGCATGCGTGAATGTGCGTGCGGAGGTGCAAGTGTGCGTGCGTGCGTGCGTGTGTGGATGGCGTGACTATGTATATGCTGTCAATTCACCAAGTGGCGAGATAGATAAGAGATGTTTCGCAAAAAGAAATGCGAAATTTATAAGCTTACATGTATAGAAACACGTTTCCGCGGCGTGGCACGCTTGCAAATAATAATAATTTTTTTCGTCTCGCTGAATGGAAAAGCAAAGCGACATTTGAACATTGTTTGTTTTACAACTTTTGCGTTTCTGCTTAATAACCCCCGTTGTCACATCATGCGGCTCGTATGTGTACAAGCGCGCCCATTTTGTGGTATTTTGCTGCGTCAGGCTGAAATCTTACCATAGAGCAAAGCCAATCAGTAATCTGAAGTTGATAACGTACAGTACACAGTACACAGAGTTACCGAGTACAGAGTACAGAGTACAGAGTAACAGCATTCACTTGCCTATATATAGTTGTTACATTTCGATATTTCTCAGTAGAGTGCACGTCACATCGTTACCAACTTGTACTCATACGGTTGAAACCAGAAAACCAGAAAGCCAGAGAAGAGAAGATAGGAGAGGAGAATAGAAGAGAAGAGAGGAGACGGAAGGAGAAGAGAGGAACGACGAGAGGAGAGGAAAATAGAAGAGAGGAGAGGAGAATAGAAGAGACGAGAAGAGAAGAGAAGAGAAGGAGAGACCAGGAGAGAAACACTGGTATGTATATGCTAAAATCATTATTTTATTTTCTCTTCTGTTCTCATGTCGATGATGCCGGCTGAGTCTGGAGCTCTGCGGACACACTACGCGGCTGAGCCGGGCGACTATGTGGATTTTCAGCACGCTACATCTCTCCCCACCTAGATTGATAGTCACTTGATTGTAAATGGCACCGTCCCGTGAAGCAAAACGAAAAATAGCTATAACTTTTTCTACTTTGTTGCTCCTACGAAAAAACCGACGCCGAAGGAAAAGGTGGGAGAATCGGGTTGCGTGGGCCAAGACGTGGATACTGCGCCGCCAATCGCACGGCGTGTATAATAACTTGGTCAAGGAGCTGGCAGAGGAATATGGGGGGGGGGATATAGATCCTATATGCGAATGTCGCCAGGCAACTTTCAGAAGTTGTTGGGCATCGTTGGTGATTCACATNCCTCCTTGCATCAGTGGGTGCAAAATCATTGAGAAACAGAGGAGTATAGGCAGAAGCATTCAGCAGGCAATCATGGAGTGCTCCGTACTGAGCTTTCAGGGCTGGCCATATCTGCTTACGACTGTAGACTTCCCATTCATACTCATCTGTGCGTCTGACCTTCCTCTTGTGTTCCATAGTCATGGTGTTATTTTGCCTGTCAAGATACTCGGAATGCAGACGAAGGTTATCTGCTAACCTTAACAAGTTCTCCTTCACAGGGACCCAAGGAGATGGCGATTTATCCCGCAGGTAGGTACTTCCACACAACCTAAACAACGCAGAAGACTTCTCTAGAAGGAGAGATGAAGTCAGATTGTTGCTTTCCCTCTTGCGATGCTTGTGTGTTTCGGGCTTGTTAAATCCGTTGAATTTGGCAAACATGGCAGGGACGGGATGGGCTCGTTCCTTAAGAGTTTCGTGATGGCCATCTAAATACCACAGAACGCCTGAAATAATGTTTACAAATTCCTTGCCAAGCGTTGCAACTGACTGCTGAGACCAACCTAACTTGTTATATTTCAGCCAATCAATGATGCTGTTCTCAAGCTGTGTTTTCAAGTTTTTATTGACCTGTTTTTCTGGTACCAAGTTTTTTTGAGTAGCGGAAGCCATAAGAACTTGGAAAGCAGATCTCAAAGCGGGCTGGGTAGACGTGCCTTCTCCAAAATCATTGGCCATGTTGGGTTCAACATAGAAGGTGATGTAAATCCCTGCAGAAATTGCATCAGATATCAGCGTGCTGGGGTCAACTTCAATGGACTGTTCTTCTTTGGATTTTCCAATTTTAGCAACAACCTAGAAAAGAAATGAGTATACAATGCCATGGGTGGAAAGGATAGCTTTAGGCCTAGTGTCATGGTGAAAAAATCCCAAATGAATTAAATTGGTAAGGAAGGGGTTAATAAATTTGTAAGCTGATGTCATTGTATAGGCTATATGTTGTAGCCAAGCCTATAGGGCAATAGGACACCGGTACAGTTTGCGAATGAAGTTCAGCTTGAGTTGTTTTATAAAATTTAAATCTCATNTACGATATACGTGCTCTACCTATATACAATATAGTATGTAACATAGCATCTGGTTGGGATAAAAGCGATCATTTAACCGCGGTCAAAACATAATTTATCCGCGGTTAGATTATGTGTAACAAGGCTTCTGATTTGGTAAAAATTAATAGCATAATTTTACTGCAGTTAAATTATTTCTACTGTGGTATTGATTATTACTACGATGACTTGGCTGCATAGGGACGCCCTCTGACCGTTGATAAAACAGCTATATCAGAGCACGTATATCATAAGTAGTCATATATATCAAGAGCTATAATACCTCTTATTTAGTGTATTATTAGAGTATTATTTAGCTCTTGATATATATATATACGCATATAGTGCTCTCTAAGCCAGAGCATATAAATCACGTTGCTCTGGTACCAGGGTTGTTCCGGTATACCGGACCGTACTCAGGGTACATTCCGGAAGTACCCTGGGGGACATAGACCCTCACAGCGTAATTAGGCGCCAATGGAAAATGATTTCCTACAATTTTATGCCGTATAATGGATTCGCGGAGCGCAGAACATAACGACTGTAGCATACAGCTTACAGGTAACAGGTTAGGTCCTACATTGATTATATTGAACCACTCAGTATACCCACGTAGCAGCATACCTCCCACACATAGACCGTATCTCTCAGTTCTCTGGTTGCTTGGCACCAGAAATTCAATCAATATTTTTGGCTAGGCTTGACAATTATTGTGTTTCCGTGCTAGCGCGCTGGTAGGTTTTGGTAACCATAGCTGGTATATAGCCTGGTGGTATGGTTAACATCGTAACATCGTCTGTGCACGACGTAAGAATGATACACGTACGTGTAGGGAGACGGTATGGGTGTAGACAATCTCCTCTAGGTAAGTTCTAAATTTATGTAAATAGACCGGCAACCGTTAGATCGATATATTCGATCCCCCAGAGTGTCTATTCCGGAAATTCCACACAGTACTCAGTAGGCCTAATACTATTACTAATACTAATAGTAAGGCCCCATAAAAAAAAAAGTTAGTTTATCATCCTTGTCATCTAAAGAAAGTGATGAGGGAGGCGGGTTTTTTTTTTTTTTTTTATATGTAAATGGCGTCGAGTGAAACGTGAAAATGTGTGTTCTTGGAAAATTGAAATCGCAGCAATAATTACGTAGCGCAAAATGCCGCAGGGTACTTTTTAAAAGAGACACAGGTATAAAGAAGTAGGTAAGCTATATAAAAGTAAGGTAATATTTATAATTGTTAATGTCAAGAAGGACTAACACTCTAACGAATGAATTGGCTTGAAACCGGTGTGTGAATACAACACCGGTAATCTGAATTAAAAAATAAAAAAAAATTTGATGCGGGCGGAAAAAGTGATGCGGGCGGGGATGATAAACTAACATCTTTTTTTATGGGGCCTAATATAAGTACTAATACGAAACTATATATTACAAGCTGGCAATTTCTCTATGTTCACTCGTTTATTATTTCTTGTTGGGTATATTCATCAGGAGTACACTGTTACTGTACAGATCAGGATCATACAGCCTGCATGTATATAGGGACCAAACTATGATTGTGCCGAAGAAGTCATTGAATTACCGACCACAGATATAGAATACAGAGTGGCTATATGCCCGGCAGCCGGCATATATCTCTGACGGCTGCCGGGCACGGTCTTCGATTTCCTAAATGCCCGGCAGTTTTTAATTTTCAGCGTTATCTCAAGTAAACAAGTTGTTTAATTACTTGAGATAACGCTGAAATTGATTGGGCTCAACCAAGTGTCGACTGAGAGCCAGAGCAACGGTTTTCTGGTGTGGAATAAATGCTGACATCGAAAAGATGGTCAAGGAGTGCGCTGCGTGTCAAAGAAACCAGACATCACAGGCACCGGCGCCAATGATACACATTGAAGCGCAGAGACCATGGCAAATGATTGGTTCTGACTTATTCGTGTGGAATCAGGCGCATTACCTCATTGTGGTAGACTACTATAGCTCATTCCCAATTGTGAGGAAGCTATCAACCATAACATCAGCAGGTGTGATTCAAAGCTTGAGAGGAATCCTAGCAGAGTATGGAATCCCAGAGACAATCATATCTGACAACGGGCCGCAGTATAGCAGCAGTGAATTTGCGAAATTCGCAGAAGAGTACGGGTTCAAGCATGTAACCAGCAGCCCAAATTATCCCAGGCGAATGGAAAGGCGGAAAGATATGTTGGTGTTATAAAGAAGACGCTAGAAAAAGCTCGAGAATCTGGACAGGATCCCGCGCTAGCATTGCTGTGTATTCGTACTACGCCACTGAGTGCAAGAATACCATCACCAGCCGAGCTGTTAATTATTCAACCGTAAGATACAGTCTAACTTACCTATGGTTAACATGACTGCGAAGGACGAAGAAGTACAGGAAGGAATGAAAGACAAGCAAGATAGATCACAGGCTCGGTATGATGCTCATACAAAACCGTTACCTGAACTACAAGCTGGACAAAGTGCTAGGATACAGCACCCAGTGACAATGAGATGGGAACCTGCTATAGTTAGAAACGAGTGCACAGAACTACCTCGTTCGTATGTTGTCGAAGCTGAGACGGGTGCACGGTATAGACGGAACAGGAGACAGATTAGACAGACAGGCGAAAATTTCAATTTTGAGCGGGAACTAGAAACTGATGAACATAGCAAGGTAGAGACACCTGTTAGTGTTACCAGTGTACCACATGCTACACTTAACAGCTCACATAGTGACAACACGTATGTCACGAGATCGGGCCGAGCGGTTAAGGCACCAGTGAGGTAATGTATATGAGAAGCACTGAAGTACCCTGTGGATTTTGAGTTACATATATATATTTCTAGTGCGTGCCTATGGAGCACTCGCGCAGGAAATGTTTATTTTCATTAAAGAGGAGAGATGTTATGATATATGACCGCTAGACGTCGCGTGGGGAAACACAGGGTGTGTGTCACGTGGTATGCATGCATGGTGTAGTATCAATTAAAATGAGTTATTCTAAAAAGATATCTGCGTTGACTTTGCATATGCGTGAGCATCAAACATATAACACCTACATTTTGGTATTTTTATTCCATTATTATTTTGAATTTTCCGATGGCTTTGCCCATGCAAAACAAACATTTTCACCCCACTTGCAGTGCTTGAAATTTACACACAGAGTGTCCCAGATTGCATCTCAGAGCTTCTACAATTCAAAAATTTTTCGGAGGGGGCATGCCCCCAGGACCCCCTACTAGCACGCAAACCGCCTTCGCTGATTTTCAACTATAGAACCGTAAAGGCAGCACCCCCATGCTATAATGAAAAAGCTTGGAGAACTCTGATTATAATTTATATCTGCAGGCTATAATTATATCTAAGGCAGCGAGAGTGGGCCGGGCTCCAGAAGAAAGGAAGATATAGGTGGAAGATGGCAGGGTTCTCCCTACGTTGCGCAAACGGGGCGCGCGCGGCCCGTTTGGAAAAACTCCCCCCTGTTTGAATCGTTGCGCCCCGTTTGGGAAAACTCCCTCCTGTTTGAATCGTTGCGCCCCGTTTAAATTCCACCACAATAAAAGTTTGCCAGCGCGGGAATCGATCGTCAAGAATTGGCGTTTGACCAGGACATCCGACGCATGTATTTTTACCGTACCACGCATGCACTGCAGACAGTACACAAGTTAACCTGTCACTAACTATACACCGACTCGGCTATCTTATATATAGAAGAACCCCAAATACCGTCTATGGTGTGGTGGCGATTTTACGCATTAATTAGTCGTACGGTAAAAATACACGCCCCCCGGACCCCCCTAGTTCCCCCCCCCTAGTTGCCCCCTCCCCCTCCCCCGTACCCCTCCCCTCCCCCCTGTTTGAATTTCATCCTGGGGAGAACCCTGGATGGGTATATTGTAAACCGACCAGGCTCTCCGACTGTTACACGGCCACGTAGTGTTAAGCGAGATGGGAACTTGTGGCTAGGTATATTGTAGATACATTGCGAAATGAGGGCTCTACTTTTACAGCGGCACTGTAGAAGCTAGCCATAGGTTTCCCTACCTGGTTTGCCTTTGTGGTTAATTGACATGTAAATTCCTTGTTGTTTGTATATCTGTTCGTGTATTACATAAATAAGTGTAGGTGAAAAGTTATTTGACACGGTGGACTTCCTTTGAAGGTACCACTTGCCTTGCCCTCCAAAAATTTGGTTAAGTACTGCGAATTAATCTTGAATATATCCGTATAGAATTAAGAAATTTTTTATTGCCGATGTAACAAACCACTAATTAATATATGCCTCCTCTATACTATAGCAAAACTCTTCTTCTAGCTCTCTTTGAACTCTCACTTTCTTTCTTGTTTACCTTCTCTCTGTTATCTCTCGATCCCCTCTGTTCAATACCCTCCATATTATTTCTGACTCAATTTCACACCACCTCTCTTCTTTTACCTGCTACCTCTCCACCTTTCCCCTTTCTGATAGTCTTGGATATTTTAAACGCTCACCAGAGCTAGTAGCAATACCCATATTCAGCTGAAAATTGATGTTAATGCATATATGATGTTAGCTCTAGTACTATATACATAGCTCGCGTATGTATATAGGCTATAGTACTAGAGCTAATATATGATGTCTGATGTTGTGATTGTTGTGTAATGTGGAATGAATTTAGTGTTTGTTATTTTTCTTGCTGCCATGTGTGAAGGAATATAGTTGCATGGAACTGCAACACAAACGTGTTTGTGTTTCATATGATAGGCCTATGGGTTGCAATGCAATGCAACCCTATGTTATACATATATGTAACAATATCAACCCCAATAATTCTGTGTGTGTGTGTGTGTGTGTGTGTGCGTGTGCGTGTGCGCATGCGCGCGCGTGTGTGTGCGTGTGCGTGTGCGCGTGCGCGCGCGTGTGTGTCCATAGAGTCTGTATGCTTATTTTTATATATAAAAAAAACTACGTATATCTCATTGTAGGTGCAGGGTAACTGTGAGCAATGACAGAAAGTCTGCCAGGTACTCCCGTGTACAATGCTAGCACCAACGTTGACACATCAATCAACGTTAGATCATGTTCAGCAGGAGATTGTTCGTATAATGCCCCTGTCTCGCAGGAGGAAATTGCATCTGTCTCAACCCGGCGAATGACAGAAACACCAATACGGAATACTACAACTACAAGTGGAGAAAAGAAATCAGGACACATTCAGGGCAATCTGTGGTCGGAAAATCGGGCAACATTATCAAATAATAAGTCGATTGGAAACTACGTCAAGCCAATGGACACAGCTACATCTGGCCAAGATGCTGGTAGTGGGCCTGTCCTATCTTGTAAGAAACCTGCTTCCATAGCAAGGATTACTGAAGATTCATATAAACAGTCATTGGAACATAATAGCTCTATAGATAGTAGCAACTCTACAGACCAGCCAGAGGAAGGGAATAACTCAGAAATCCTCCAAAGTCGCATTGTTGTGATAAAGCCAGACATCGCCGCAACCCGAGATGATGATGGGGGAAGGCAAGTTGCCAGGAGTGCAAGTTCCGGTAAATAATTACAATGTATTCGATAATTCCCAACAGCTTAATGTCTTCTACTTCCTGTCTTTCAAATAATATAGTCATGAAAATTCACATGATTTTACACAAAACTGTATTACGTACTCTGTAGTGTATAAATTTATTGTATGCATATGGTTAATTACATTAACTTATTATATTGAATTCATGGATTCCATTTAGTTCATGAAATAATTGCTGTTTTTACTGCAGATTATCGTCAACCTTTGAGATGTCTTCTCGTATCGAGTAAGATTAAAAACCTAGGTGGGATCACCAATGCGGTGGCACCTAATTCTGTAGTGATCAGCTATAGATATGAATCTGCAACATTAGACAACTTGCTAGCTACGGTCAGTGAAAAGATGGGAGGCCGCAAGGTGCAAGGTATTGGCATGGTCATGACAGGAACTGCTTTCAATCTAAGCATCTGCAGAATAGGAGACAAGGTAATGCATACAATTAAGCATATATATACTGGCAGGTACTTATAATATTCGTATATAAACCTTCCTAAGTGTTATTTGTTTGGAATTGGCCCCACATGCAGACATGGTTAATGTTTAGGCAAAATATCTCAAGATTTGATTTTTAGCTCACCTTGACATCGTCAAGATGAGCTATTGTCATGGGTCGTCGTCCATCGTACGTCCGTCCGTCCGTCTTTCCGTCAACATTTGGCTACGGTCAACGATAACTCAGGAACCGTTTGACCCACATGTTTGAAATTGGGTATAGTTGTTACTGCTATGGGAGAGGTTTGAACGTCCTATTTTGGAGCACGCCAGTCGACGTACTTTCGAGCCACGGCAATTTTTTGGCAAAAATGGAAATTGTCAGTCAGTTCAGGTTCAACGGATTTTGCTCATTTTTGGTATATGAATGAATAAGGGCTGGCCCCAAAACGTATCACAGGGGTTTTGATATTTAAAAATTTTTTATGCAAATTAGGTAGGTTTTGGCAATTATATAGCATATTATATAGCCACGCAGATAACAGTCTGTGGTGTCACACTCGTCTGGTTTGTTTTACAAGATTTCATTGACAAGATCTTTAATGCAAAATTGGTATTTCCTCTCCACCCTGCAGATAAAACAACTATATTAGAGTAAAGTTTTACAAAACATGTCGGAACGCAGCATAACCTATTTATTTCGAACGCCATCGCTAAGAAACATCAAAGCGGGTATAGCACCATCTACCGTCACAAATTGTGATTCATTTTGGTTTATAAATTATTATTGCGATATACAGATGGCAACCGTGTGCTACCGCCTAGAAAAACTCATACGAAGTAAACAAGTATGGGCAGGGAAACACCATTGTCACGTGGTATATAGCAGCTACGTGGAATAAGCGTATCCTCTCAATCTTACACGTTACACATCGGGTGCTCCGCTTTTAGGCAGTGCCTAAATCTGAATATTATAAAAATGTTAAATGGCGATCATGTAGGTGTAACGCCATCACTCGTCCACATCTCAGACTTTCACATCTCAAACATTTATTTTCACATAAAAAATTACACATATAATTATCAAGAGTATATAATGGGAGTTCTCCCATATATACTCTTCGTTTCTATAATGTACGTCGATGGTTGCTCAATTAAAACTGACTTCTTCTCACTCACTCATTTGTGTCCTTTCTTGTGGTGAGCTACAGTGTCATTGACACTTTCTTTGTATTAAGGCGTTGATCTTTTAGCACCAGGAAGCCGTGCAGAAAGAGACATCTATATTGAACTATATATTTATTGTAAAACTATAGTGATCTTGAATTGCTTGTGTCTTTAACTGCACCATGTATTTACCGTAGGTGTTGTCAGTGCAGACTGTGTGTGATCACGAAGCCGTAAGGGAATTCTTCACATGTTTGACCATAAATCACCTAGATGCAACATCTCCATATCGCCGGCTTGACTTTTTCTTGTGGAGTGCTGCTGGCACACCAGATGCCAACACAATAGCAAAGGAACTGGAAGTGCTCTGCGGGGTAAGGTTTTTTACTATGCGTTAAAATATTTAGGGCTTCCAAGGTAGTACATGTTAAATTTAACACGTTTCATCCTGTCATACCCATTCTATTGTATACGCCTGATTATATATTAACTTGTTCAGGTGCCAGTTGCCATATATAAAGATATGTATGGTGCTGAGCTTGATGGAGGGATTAGCAGGTATCTTGAGGACTCACCTCGTGGCAAGATATTCGTAGGAGAGTTGTACTTCAGACCTGAAAAGCTACGTGGTTTGAGCGCCCGCCCTGGTAGCAGTTCGCAGTCCACAGCCGGCTACGAGAAGATACGTACGGTAGGAAAAGGTAGTGTGAGTTTAAAAAAAAATGTCATCTTATAATGAGTTGAATGAAAGTCAAGATAGAGTGAAGTTGTGGTTCTAAGAGGATTACACTTATTATGCTTCAGTAAAAGGTATACAAATGTATTGAGGTGCAATTAACACAGAGGTAGGTATTGCTCTCCAGGATCATATATACTCAATACTCAATGCAGGTTTAAAACTTTTGCAGTAAGTGGTTCTCCAGTTATTCGAACAAACCATTGCCTCACAAAATACTTGGCAAATGACAGCGACAGCTACCAGCAGTTAGTCACACAGACAATTTTTTTTTACACTTTTGGTGTTTTTAGTGTCTTTGCAGTTTACCAGTTCTGATATCCTGCCCTCATCCTCTCGTTCAGATATCATTTTACCGCACACTGTTGTGACCATTGGTGGTGAAAAACAGTGTTTGGTGGCAGCACCCCTTAGCAGGCAGCATTGATTTTCCATTGACACATAAACATTTTATGTGTGATTATTTTCAGGTGCATATGGAACAGCCGTACTGTACAGGAGGCGTGATGACGATTCGCAGGTTATCTTGAAAGAAATTAATATGCATGATTTGAGCACGGCAGAGAGACAGATGGCTCTCAATGAAGTGAAGGTGCTTGCCATGCTGGACCATCCGAACATTATCAGCTACTATGACAACTTTGAGGAGGATGGGGTTCTAATGATTGAAATGGAGTATGCTGATGGGGGGTAAGTGAATGGTCGCGATGTGACCATCTTGAACGTGTTAGCGTACTTTGGAGGAGGCGTGTATGATGGTGCGTGAACGTATAGTGGTGAGTCAATGGACGGTGGAAGGTTTGTGGAAGATGGGGGTTAAGTTGGCAGGCAATGGTGTATGTGTGAACTGTGGTATGTACGTGTGTGTGCTTGTGTGTATGGTTGCGTGCGGGAGTGGATGATAGCTGGTGTGTGGACAATGGTAGTTGAGTGGTCGATGATGTGTATAGTGAATGTACGTGTGTGCATGCAGGCGTGCGCGAATGAATAAGTTTATATGTGTGTGCGTGTGTGAGTGCATATACGTGCATGAGTTCATATACTGTGTAGGGGTGGTGTGTAAGTTCTTTCTCATGAGGAAATGTGTGAGCAGTGATGGTGATAGTGATGCAGTGATGATGATGCACGCATGATAATTCAAAAGCTTTGTTGATGCAGTACGCTGACGCAGTTTTTGGCCAAACAAACCGAGCCATTGGAAGAAAAATACATACTGAACCTGTTCCAACAGATGGTCTCAGCTCTAAGGGACATGCACGAGCACAACATTCTCCATAGGTATACCTATATGATTATTAAGGAAATTGAATTTAAACGATTTGATCAAGCATAGATATAGGTTAATCACTAAGCATGCAGTTATTCTTTTAAATAAAATCGAAGTGTGTTGAATTCTACATCAGCTTGTCTTATTTAAAAATACTTCTCTTTTGTATTCTAATAAGTGATACTGTTCAATCATCACAATATACTAGAAAATCCTCAGGTATCCTCAAGTAGTATAAACGTGTGATAAGTTTAATAATTCTACCCCAAAGTGACCAATTCATACGCTTATCCATATTACTATAATATAAAACCATATATATATCCATAATTTTACCATTGTTTCAGGGATTTAAAAACACAGAATATTTTTCTAACAAAAGAAGGCTTAGTGAAAGTGGGTGATTTCGGAATATCAAAGATGTTGTCAACGACGAATAACGGAGCTAACACTGTACTTGGTACACCTTACTACATCAGTCCTGAAATGGTAATGACACAGGGCTACCACTGGAGTTCAGCACCTTTGCAAAATGTGACAAATTAACAAAAGTGGCGATTTTACTACACTAGCTGTTGAATGAAATTGGTGAATAATTTAACTGCTAACAAATACAACTGAATAGTGAACTATGGTCAAATTCCATCTTTGTGTAAGAACAATAACAAATTCCATAACCTGCTACTTAATTTGGTCCAAGTAAGTTCTCAAATAAAACAAACCTTGTTTTGTGCAGAACATGCATACATAGTACATAGCAGATACACACAAGCACGACATATGTACACACATATATATATGGTGTGCAACGTTTACATTTTCAAGCCCATTATTTGCCACTGCTCTATAATTGCAGACTCATGTACTATTACTCAATTTTTTTAATGATTTACATGTCAGATTTGATCTTTATTTGGATGAATTATAAAGATGTTTATCTGTTTATTGTACAATGCAACATCAATACAAACGATTACAGCATAACACGTTAATGCTTTCAGTGTGAAGGACTTCCTTATAATGAAAAATCAGACATCTGGGCATTTGGCTGTATACTGTACGAGATGGCCTGCAGACAACGGACATTTGAGGGGTCAAATTTGCCTGCACTGGTTAACAAGATTATGAAGGTATATATGTATGCCTATGTTATATGATTATTCAGCTATATGCTCCATTTGGCCTTAATTTATTGCCAAAATGTATTGTTGATTTAGTGATTTCAATTGTAAATGTTTGTGTGTAGAGTTAAATCACTTAAAGAATACATTTGGTTCTGCTCAACAGTTATATTGCATGACAGCATTATTATTTTACATTAAATTTATCAACTTTGGTCAAAATGTCTATCCTTCGGTTTTCAGGGTCAATTTACACCAGTCAAGGGAAACTACAGTGCAGAATTCAAAGAGCTTATCAGGGACATGCTTCAGAGAGAGCCAGAGTACAGACCGTCTGCTAATGAACTACTTTATGCTAGGTAATAATAGAATGCTGATAAGAATAGTGTCAGGGAAAAGTCCAGTTAGAATTGTATTTTAGGCAGAGAAACCAGAGTAGAAACTGCGTCTTGCCACACTTGTTTTATAGCTCATCTGACGTAATCAGATGCAGCTTGTAGAATCGCATGATTGTCTGTGCGTCCGTCCGTCCGTCCGGCCGTTCGTGCGTGCGTGCGTGCGTCAACAGTTGGGCACAAATCTTAACCGCTCGACGTACGGTCACGATATTTGGGACATGGGGGGGATCGTGAAAAGGACTCAGGATGACAAATTTGGGGGTCAAGGGTCAAAGGTCAAGATGTGTAAACGGAGGGGGAATATTTCCCCCTTAACTTAAGGTATAGGAGGAAATACGGAATTGCGGCACAAATCTTAACGGCTCGACCTATGCTCTTAATATTCGGTGTATAGTGCGATGGGCAGGAAACCCATCACCAGTGCGAAATTGTAGGTCACAGGTCAAAGGGCAGTGGGGGAAAGGTCAGATATCATACATTTTCTTAGGACATGGCCTAATGGACAGAGTGGAAAACTTTTTTGTTTCAGCGCTGACCTACCATTTTTATCACTTTATTGAAAGGACCATGAAATGTGCTTTCCACTGACGTGTCTGATAACCTTTTGACCCTCAAGAGGAGGGTTAAACATGGATTCCTGAACTGCCTCAATGATGTCACAGTGTTCTCATATTCATGGCACATCCATAATCTAGAAAGCCAATAAGCCTGGATAGCTGAACGGGTACAGCACAGGCATCACGGCTCAAAGGTCCTTGGATCGAATCCCATCAGATTTGTTATTATTTACCTGTTTTCTGTATTTTTCTATCTTTATCCATTTAAGTATTTTTTTCCAATTAACGCAAATATTGACATGATTTATTTACAACAATTTAATAACAACAAATAATGTTTACAACAATTTATTTTTATTTTTTTAATATAGGGTTAGGGTCACAATGCACCATAAAACAGGAGTTTCAGGCACGCGATTTGTATCAACCAATGGGATTTTAGGATGTATATAGAAGGTTGCTGAAATGATGTGTACGCAACTGCGTATCTGCATATCTGCGCCTAACAAAGGTGTCACTATACGCACAACTTAAATGTTACGTTTATAACCATAGTAACAGACCTCAGATGAGCCCAGACGCTCTGCGTCTCTTGTTCTAAATTCCAGAGCATCAACAGATTTTTGTGTAGACTTTTTGTGATTGGTAGTATGTAGATAAGTGTTGTTACTCTTGAGAGCTCTGGTGGTCCAGTGGTTAGTTATTCACATTTTACTTCAAAGGCTGCGTGTATATTCAACTTTGGCCAGGACGTAAATGTTTTCAAATCGTACAAACCTTACTCTCAATATTGAGCATTATGAATCGATCATTATTCGGTTGACCATGTCAAATGGAGCCTGTCTACAGGAATCAGAATGTGATACAACCACTGTTACTGTAATTAAATCACTCTAGCATGCAGTTACCATTATTAGAGAGAGCAGAGCCCATATTGACATAAGACCTATGGTACTATATAACAAGTGAATGATAACTAAGATAACTAATGATATTAGTTGTGAGTAGTCATAATTGATAACTTTATAACCACACCGTTACTTAGTTAAAAGTGTGACTAAATGCTCGAAAATATCCAGATCCAGAGTCAGATTGAGGTTGGTTAATTATGCCTGGTATAGATGCATGAATGTACGTAACATCAACGTAATACTTATGAAGTGTTTAAATCATGCTCACAGCTTTATCATTGTGTAGATATTCACACACAGCGTGTATGAATGATATGTTTTTCCCTGCAGACTTCCAGAGCTAATGAGTCGTTATGACCATCAGGGAACAGATGGTGAAGAAGATGCATTACAGAATGGTGGCAGCACCAAGAAGAAAAGAATAAGGTCAATATGAGCATATACATGTGGTATTTTTCATTGAAATATTATATAGTTTGTGACTAAAATCATGCATTGTCCGAAATGTAGCATATATTCTATTAACTTACAAAAAATCGTTTGAGTTGAGAGAAACGTGTATGCATATGTATATCTACAATCTATAGTGACAGTTATTGGCCATTTTCTTATGCAATGAATGTAGTATGTTTTACCCCACAGATTTTAGAATTTCCTGTTCATATGTAAACGTTGGATAATGATGATGTAAGTTAAGTTCGTATGTCTGAATTGCTTTTTACAATTCTTGGCAGCATGCAGAACCATCATGTTATAGCAGGAAGTAAGCAGCTATAATTTAATTTATACTAACGCTAGTTTACACTTCTTTATTAGCCAGCACTGTTGGAGATAATTAACTTCTAATGCAAAGGGTATAATTATGTTCCTGATCTAAAATTCCCATCATGTGCATTTCTAACCGAGTTTCTCTTGTAGGTCAGTGCTATACAGTTTCGACGTGAGCAAGACAAAGCTTTACCCCATTGACCTTCCAATAAAGACAATGGTGGTTCAAGTAGCAGCTAGCCTTGATCACGTGATTGTGGTTACTATGGAGAGAGTGGTGTTTACCTGGGGAGCTAATCATTCTGGTCAGCTTGGGCATGGTGACCAAGAGCTTAGGCCCAAACCGACAGCAGTGGAAGGATTGCAGGCCAAGTCCATCGTCAGGTATTTAGTGTTAGACATGACATAACAGAGGTTGTCAGGAAGTGCTTATAACCAATGTGAAAGTTTACTCACTAGTAAAGGCAACTGAATGAATTCTAAGGCTGTAACGATCCACCGAAATCGAATCGGATCGCGATTCTCTTCCCTCGATCCGATCCTCGATATTTTTCCCCGTATTTTCGATTCCACTTCGATAACACTTTTTTCATCCAATAGATAACGGCACTACGCTATATACTGTGGAGTACGTGTTACTCACCAATGTTACTCAGCGGCTGTGAAGTGTATATATACTTTCTAGACTCTAGTCTATTCACTATTTAGTATTCATTGGCAATTTCAAATAATTTAATATTGCAAAATAATGAAAATATAAAAAATAAGATAACATTTCAATATTTTAGGAATCGAATCGAAGGAATCGAATCGAGAGGCTAATATCGAGAACCGGATCGAATCGAGAGGCTAATATCGAGAACCGGATCGAATCGAGAGGCTTGTGTATCATTACAGCCCTAATGAATTCCATGCATATTAATGCTTAAGGCCAATTTCACTTCATAGACGTATTATGTATTGGTTTCACCTTTTCAGATCTGTTTTAACTAGTTACTTAACAAATGTATGAATTTGGTTTTCAACAATTTGCATTTTACAATGTAGGAAACCTGTAGGTAACTGGAACTGCTGCTCTAAATGTTTCATTATTTGTAACAGGGCGTGTGCAGGTCAAGACTTCAGCATATTTTCCAGTGACAATGGTATCGTCATGACTTGTGGTAATGGTGGTAGTGGCTGTCTCGGGCATGGTGACTGGTCAAGTGCATGTCGCCCTAGACTTATTGAGGCTTTGTTAAGGTATATTATACCATGCAACATATCCGGACTTAATGTTTATACTACAATTTCTGTTCCTTGTTTCCAAATTCTGCATTGATAACAAAAAGTACGTACCAAAGTGACTATGTTCATACATATGTAGATTGCATCGTTCAAACTCTAATAGTCAAAAGATTGGTGCATGTGGGGAAAAGCAATTTACACACACGTTATAATGATTCCGTAACCACTGAGCGATACATATGTAAATGTATAGTATCAGTCATGAGTTAATACTTTAACAACAGCATGACATTTTGCATTGTAATGATTCTGTAACCACGTACTGAGCGACGTATGTAAATGTATTGTATCTGCCATGAATCAATACCTTAAGAACAACGTGACATTTCGCACTGTGAAACCGCGCGGGTGCTGCTTGTTTCAGTGTGGATGTGTCCTCTATAGCATGTGGTCCAGCACATGTTGTCATTGGCAGCAGTAATGGAGAGGTATACTCGTGGGGTCGAGGCGCCGACGGACGCCTTGGACTTGGCTCTGATGCTGATTAGTAAGTAGTCTGACTAGACAAGTGAGGTGCAATGTATGCATGCTGTCATGATCTACAACAAAACACGTCAAGGCAGGCCAGCTTGGATAAAAACGTAATTTATAACCTTTTCATCGAATATTGTAAACAACTGCTATATTAATTATATGTTGCTGAGTACCGGTACCTTTTAAGGTAGATTTACATCAGAGCATTCAAGTGCAGACGAAGTGAATCTTTCTAATTAAGAACATAATTCCCTAGTGCTTAACATTCTGAAGCTCATTAATTATAAAATAAAAGCACCAAATATTAGTGAGAAAAATAACAGAGTGATGCACCATATTACGTAGATGAGTCATCATGACATTGTGCAGTCATCAAATTAACCTTTAATAAACTCCCGCATAAAACGACCTGAATGATGCTTTAATCCACTATGGGTATTTGAATCGAATTTTGGTTAACAGGTATTTTTCACCTTTGGAACATCAAGGTATTACTAGAGCTATGCGGTGCTTTTAGAATACAGGAAACAGCCCTCATGCACATACGACAATGCACAAAATACACGTAGTAACTACCAGTATATTAATGCATGTCATTCCTGAATTTGGTTACCTGAGGCTGGAATTGGAGGCAGTGTATATGTACAGCTGTCAGGCACCTGAATCAAAGCATCAGCACCTGAATCCTTCCTGCACGAGCAGACAGTAACTAATTAGCGTAGCGCAATAATTCACATTGCATCTGCATATACACTTGTAATGCCTGGTATCGGAAATGGATTGCCCGTGACTAGGTGATTTCTCTGCAAGATGCTTAACTAATTGGGAGCCCATTTCTTGTAAGTGCATCTCACTAGTCTAGACCTATTATAAAATTTGTTTGAACATTTGATAGAAAAAGTAAACGTTTTATTTTGGCAATGAAACAAGGTCAGTGATATAAAAACAGTAAATATACCTCCACACCATATATATGCATGTCTGTGGCATTTTAAAATCACTGTTACATTTTATACATAGAACCGTGGTATGTGGTGTAGTATCGTGATGACATGAAAGAGAATTGCTCTTGTCAGTAGTGAGTGAAAGTACTTTATGTTAGAATGTCTGATTAAAGGATTTGTATGCTAAACCGGAAGTCTTGTTCACATTATCACAAACTAGCATGAAATGGTTATGCAGTCAGGAAACAATGTGGAATATGAGAACTCTCTGAGAATATGAAAAGTTTGACCTGTTTAGAATAATGTAAATATATATACCAAAAAGTGTATACTTCAAATCAATCGATCAAATTCAATGAAAAACTATGCATATACTTATGGTATATACGACTATTTAAGTCGGTTTCCAGACCACCTTGCATTGGAGATGATGCAGCGAATGTTATAATGCAGTATTGCAGTTTCTGCAGTGGGAAAGTCGAGTTACGTATTTTACCCACTTAATTTTATATGTATGTATATGTGTGTGTGCGTGCATGCGTGCATGCATGCATTAATGAACAAGATAGGGCCATATGCTTGTATCAGGTGCTATTAAATGTAGCACTCCAATAGACGTTGGATTATAGGTCTAAGACTCTGTATAGTCACCAGTATTGTTGTCTAACAGCTTTGCTTTGATCTTTCACTACTGCAGCAGTTATCCAATGCCTGTGAGCATCCAGGGACCAGCGATTGTGCGTGGTGTGCATTGTGGAGTGGATGGTAGCATGTTCATCACAGACACTGGCTCAATGCTAGCTTGTGGCAGCAATAGAAACAACAAGCTTGGCCTAAACGAGCGCTATGGCTTCTTTGCACAGATGAGACAGCTCATGCACAAGGTGAGTAGTGGTAGTATCCACTATAAACTAGGGTGTGGGATGTGATTCACCGATTCCACTAATACATCTGGATTTTTTCTTATTAATATAGATGTCGACATGCAAGAGTTTTATTGTTTGTTTGCAATTGTCATATACATCTTTATATCCCTTTATCTAGACAGAGGTGGAAGGTACTAAGATACCGACCGTTGTCAAGGCCCTGAAATTTCGCATTCTGGACATTTCTATGGGTCTGCATCACACTGCAGTCCTCGTAGAACCCGGACACGTTATAACATTTGGCAATAACACACAAGCTCAGCTGGGGCATAGCAACACAAAAGTACACAGTCATCCCATGCAAGTCCGAAGCATTGAACACGAATTAGTGAAGGTAAGGACAATTAAGAATATATACTATTTATCAGTGGCATAATAAGCAGGGTGATGATTCTGAGGTGTGCGTATATGAATTGTCTAGAATTTGTTCTCGTTGGTATATACTAGCCGTCTGTCAAGCGGTTCCTCACAGATGGCACTTCTCTAGCTAATTAGAGTTATATTGTAAGGATTATACCCTAGATAATCTATGTTAACCAGGCAGTGACATGTGGAGAACGATTCACAGCAGTCTGTACAGCCACCAACAACCTGTATTTCTGGGGAACTAGGCAGGTCTTGTCCGATAATAATGGTGCATCCAATGAGAAAGGACAAGGGAAGGTGCCAGATGCATGTGATGACGAGCCACAAGCAGAATCTTTCAATTCTGCTAATGGTAGGTATCTGATGAGTATATTTTTTTTATCAAAACATTGGAAATTGGGAAACTACTTCTGCGCATATTTAATATGCAATGCTTTGCTGATTATTGTGTCATTGCAGCATAATTTATTCCTATAAGATGTAAATTTATTTATGCTGGCAAAAGACACTATGGCAGAGGGAAATTTTAGATGTTACACTATTTATAATTCACTATACGAGTGAACTTCTTTCCTTATGTGCCTATTTTGTTTACATTTTGGATATGCATGTCCAATTTAGGACTAGACAATGTTAAAAAGATCACCCAAAAACGCAACAACAAACGTTTTTGTTTCAGCAGTGACTCATTTTTTTCTTGACTTTGTAGACATTGCCCTAGATTCTAGCGATATATCAAAACTCCATCATTTGACCCCATTACACTCAAAAAGAACACTTGACACTAATCAGAGATTTAAACTCACCTTTTTTCTAAAATAAATGAAAAGCTGTGGTTAGTCAAGTTCATTCCCCTGTCCCCTGTAAGGCTTTAATTTAAAAGTCTGTGAGTAAAAGCTTATACTAAGTAATTTAGATTATTCTCTATGTAGCTCCAACTATACACTGTTTAGATTATGTTTGCTAAATCGCGTGTATTTTCAATTATAAACAGATACTGCATGGTAACTGGCTTTGTGTTGTAGCTCAGCTCACAACAGATGCCAAAAGTGGGTACACACATTCTACAACTGCTGGAAGTCTGGAACCTGAAGCTCTGAAATCCTATGATAATTTAGATGATACACTATTCTCAACAATGTCACACACTGACAGTGATCTGATAATACCTGACTTGACTCAACAGACAGGTAGGAAAAAACATCACTTGTAATAATGTTTGCTGGATTGGCCACAGCCCAGCCATTAAACGTGTAAAACATCAATTTAACTAGCAAAGCAAAGTTTGTTAATGCTTTATTTATTGCTGTGCTGATGGTATGCTCAAGGTACCTTGTATATATCTGCTACTTGATTAAATTCAGTACACGGAGTAGAACTGTAGCACTCTATGAAGTCACTTGAAAACAAAAATATTTATTATCGCACATATTCAATAAGGAAATAACTAATATATATAATTGGTTTCATAATATTGAAATTTTGTTATAAACGCCCCCTTGCTTTTTGATAGGTAGTGATGGCAGCCGCGACCAGTCGGCCAGGAGTAGAGTGCTTAAAATGCTTTCTGGTAAAGAGACGCCTATAGAAACAGTAACTGTGCTCAAGCCAACACCCATATTAAGGTAATTCCTTTCTTTTATACTAAAATAGGTAGTTTACAACAGAAACCTGTATATGTAATTTGTTCATTATATATGCTGTCCTTCTATGAAGTAATTGTGCACACATATAATTTGGCATATTTCATTAAAGGAGATGACACGCACATATTTTGCAGTGCACATCTCTATAAAGTTTTAATATTATTGCATTTGCTGACGCTTGTCACAAAAGGAACACTGCAATGTGCTATTTATCGTAGATTGGACTCTGCCTCTGATAGCAGTCAGGATTTCATCCGTTTGTCAGACGTAGTAACACAGTGTGACAACATTTTCGTCCTAGTCGATACCACGGCGCCACCTCCACGCAAAAAGGGACGAAAGAAACGTAGTAGGTACGGGAATAATGCGACTGAAAACTGACCCCGTAGCACTTTCTAACCATGAATTTACAATACATATTATGATAATGGGGAATTAATCATGTCATCATGTAGTGCATTTTATTATGTATAGTTACTGCAATCTTGCTAAATATGCATTTGTGCTGTTTGGCAATTTTTCTGAGTGAATTGTCTTAAATGTTTCCACTGTGCTCGTGTGTGATGCCTAAGTTAACTGCATGAGTGCCATTTTGTTGATAGTCTTCGCAAGCGATGTTCATCAAACCTACGACCCCCATCTGTTGGAGATATCCCAAACTCTGCATCTAGTAGGGATGGTGGTGATGAATATACAAGCTCCGAGATGTCAGAAGCAGATACTAAACTACGCAGTGCAGTATGTATAGTTATAAATTTCCCTGCGAAACTAACAACTTCCTAAATAGGGCCAAATTTGTGGTCATTTGTATCCATTTTGAAATATTCTGCAATATATTTAACACACAGCTTTAAGCAATCCACCATAATCCTATTCATCCATAGTAATTAATTTCCCATATTCATGGAGCACAACATGGTAACTAAGAAAGGGTAGTAAAATTGTATAATTTGTGATTTTCTTGCAATATAACTTCGAAAATTATTAAATGTGAGGGTCAGCAAATGGACAGGATTGCATCATTTAGACTTAATGGTGGTGGGTATTAAATTGTAAATATTTTACAGATTCCAACTTGGTTAAAGAATGAGCTTGCAGCATCAGATGCAGAGCACAATGAGGACGATGAAATCTCCAGTGGCTTAGACACTCCAAGGGACGGCCAATCCGAGCAAGTTAACCAGGTCATGTTTGTAGCTATAGTAACATATCATAAGTAGCATATTTCAAACCACAGGTGCAGTGGATTGAACAGGAAAAGTTCCAAATAAATTCGTACTGCCATATAACCTGCTGCTACCCTATCTTTATTTTCTTAAGTATGTATTTTTATGCACTTATATTGGCTATTATTTATGCTGCATAATCAACTTGAACTATGTAATAATGCTATAGTCATATGTTTCTGTTATATGGGCTACATTCCTAACATGTTTCTGTGCTCATTAGCAACGGATTAACAAACCCATGCATTATGTGTCTGACATTTTGCCTATACTAAGCACACCTATGCATGGCTGCATATCTGATTGAGAATGACTCGATCTACTTGGCATATTCAAATTTTGACTGAAAGTGGAAACACAGTTATGCGTGCAGTGGCAATGCGAATGTGGGTTATTGCAAACGTTGTGAAATGCAAAACGTGAAATGTAAGGTTAATATTGTTTTGTGACTATGTACCAATATGTTCTGGCTGCATAAGCGACTGTACTTAACAGGTGCTTGTGCATGAGGATGGCTGCATGCCATCATGCCATTCAACACACTAACTAATACTAATCACTATACCATCACGTTGTGCACTAATGAGCGTCGATCGTGCATAATCACCTGCTGATGTTGAACTTTTATTGTTACCACAGATAAATGGTAAAACTGTAATAACAAGTGCAGAGTATGAAGCAAGCATCAACCAAATAGACCCACTTTCTAGTTCAAGTAGCTCAGAGACATTCGCTATAAAGTAAGTAGAAATATAGATTATTGAATAAAATTATGGAATATAATATGAAGATGATCCTAAATATGTGATGATGTGCATACTGTTTTTTCATTGACACCGCAATTAACGAGATCATAATTATTCCATAAAATCCCTTGCAATATAAGTTTTAGTTTAGTGTAGCTTAATTTTACAGTGTACCAAAGTATAGATTGTATGCTTTCAGGTCTGAAGTAAGTCAGCAAAACGCACCTGCACTAGGTATTACTGCTAGTGTGCAATACAATGAAAAACTTGCTACCACACAGCGACCACTAAATCGACTTAGGGTAGCTGGCCGTGGACGTACTTTGGCTCCAAGAGGGAGCCACCAGCTAGCGACTACTAATCAGAGATCAGCTGATCCACAAGGGTTCATATCTGCCGTTACACAAGTAAGTGACGCTCTAGCAATGTTTCTAACAGTGTTTTATTTTCAACGATACAACGATAGCAACACGTTAAGATTGGATCGAGTAAGGAAACTCGTTTATTTAGGCTCCATTGTTTCATCTCTGGGGTTCTCGCATCACTGGTTACATCCTTGATGACAAATGATGGTGTGAAATGAAAATAGGTTGACTGTGAGAAGATAAGAAACAACAAAGTATATTGAAATTGTGGCGTACTATAATAGTCGCAGTTTGATTAATATGTTCGCTTCCTAAAACTGGTTAAACTCATTTGCCTGCATAAGGCAGAAAGTACTGTGATGGTGATATGAGAGTCTGTTAGTTAAATCCTTCCCACGCCTATATGGCGTATATGGCGGTGCCTATCTCCATTTCAGTAACCCTGAGGCCCCGCAGCTGCTTTCACAGCAAATGCTACAGTAGGGGGTTAGTCCACTGGTAGCACTGCGGGTTAACTTGCCACACTCTATCTCTCTATTGTACCATTTTGCAAGTCTTTGGTATGACCCGGCCGGGAATTAAACTCCCGACCTTCCACATGCGAGGCGAGCGTGAGAGTCTGTTGCTCTGTCTGATTTTAAATTTTTGGATACTGGAAATGATTAAAGTCTTTCCTCTCCTTTATACAGAGAAGAAGGGAAGAAGCCTTGCAACAAGAGCTTCAGCATCTTCAAGAAGAAAAGTTATTGATGGAGGAAAAGCTGAACGAAATAGCAGTGCAGCAAAACACCAACGAACACACTGAAGTTGAGAAGAAAGCACAAGTATATATAACATGAATTTTTATTAGCGTAAAATTATAGTATACATGGTATATAGTACAGTCCGACCTCCTTTATCCGGCCATCCGTTATCCAGAAATCTCTATTAACCGGCCGCGATCTTGCAGTGTATGTTCTCTGTTTTTCATTCATTTTCACCTAAAAATCTCGCTCAAAACTTGCTCAAAGCTCGCTCAAAACTTGCGCGATGTACTAACCGTATGTGTGCGTGCGTGCGTGCGTGCGTGCGTGCGTGCGTGCGTGCGTGTGTGTTGTCCGCTCGTGTCCGCTATGCCTCCGGTAAAATTTCTGTTTTATTTCATTTTATTTCCATTTCATATAAACCATAAAACGCGACAGTTTGTTACAAATAATCATAGCAACGAGTAAATACATTATCACATGCATAAACCCTACTGAACTGGATAGAAATGCTGTGTTTGAGCATAAAGGGCCGGACACACTAGGCGATTAAATCGGGCGACAAAATCGCCCGATTCTATCGCGCGAGACGAGTGGACACACTAGGCGATTAAATCGGGCGATTAAATCGGGCGATTAAATCGGGCGATTAAATCGCCGGTGAATAAGTCGTGCATGCATGTGCACGTAGACGTGCGTGCGTGCGTGTGCACGTACACCTGCGTGCATTCATGCGTGCGTGCGTGTGTATGTAAACGTACGTGCATGCGTGCGTGTGTGCGTGCGTGTGTGCATGCGTGTGTGCGTGTGCACGTACACGTGCGTGCGTGCGTGCGTGCGTGCGTGTGCACTTACACGTGCGTGCATGCGTGCGTGCGTGCGTGTGCACGTACACGTGCGTGCATGAGTGTGTGCATGCGTGTGCACGTACACATGCATACGTGCGTGCGTGCGTGCATCGCTATTGCATGACATGACATACTAAACATGAAACATCGCTATTACGTCAGTATCATTGAACAACTCTGATTGGCTGATGAATTGTACAATCAGGCGATGTTATCGCCGGCCCCGGACACACTAGGCGATGAAATCGGGCGACAAATAATATCAAAACCTTTTGATCTATGCGATGAAATCGGCGGCGATTGAGTGGACACACTAGGCGATTTCAGGGCGATTTCATCGCCCGATTTAATCGCCTAGTGTGTCCGGCCCTTAACGCTCATATCCGGCCAAATCCCATACCCGGCGGATGGGTGCCGCGGTCCCGACGTGGCCGGATAAAGGAGGTCGGACTGTATAGTGTTTCATACTAAATGTTAGTAACAATGATAATTTTGCAACATTGTACTACCCCACCACTTGTACCCCCCACATTGTAGGCTACTACCCCATCACTTGTACACCCCACATTGTAGGCTACTACCCCAATGTGGGATTGATTAATTGTTATGTTGCATTGCATTACATTGTATGATTTGTATTCCTTGTTTATTGCTCTAATGCTACTATTTGCTAGCAGTTATGTCATATCTAAACTACGAATGGGCTACAAATATTCTCTGTCTCTGTCAAAATATACACTGTATTACATGAAACTGTGCCCCAATCATAGACAGTGGTTGAAGGGATAGAGCTACCATCGGCTATGAAAGCAGCCAAGATATATGGATACCTAGCAGTTCCCTAGTCCAGCTATGAGCATTTCGGTGTAAAGATGAACCTATTGAGAACTAGAGCACTCGGAGAGCGCAGACCTCCGCCAAGGCAGCTGAATTAATTCTCTCACTGTGAAAATTTTTATTAATTAATTAATTAATTAAATAATTGATTGGATCCGGATGACCACCAAAATGTAATCAATTTTAAGTTACCCCATTTCTGACCTATCCTGCAAATTTTATTAATTAATTAATTAATTGATCCGGATCGCCACCAAAATGTAATCAATTCTAAGTTAGCCCATTTCTGACCTATCTTGAAAATTTTATGACAATCCGTCCATAACCTTTTTAGTTAGGCTGTACACAAAGAACGGTGTTACAAACCTACAAACGCACAAACCCACAAACGAAAAAAACACACAAACGAACAAACACATGCCGGTGAAAACATAACATCCTGCCAACCCCTTGGCGGAGGTAATAATGAAGTGGAATGTGATATTGTCATCCCAAATACAGCAACGTGTTTTTTTTTACAGGAACGTGAGATTCTGTTGCTGGAGGAGCTAGAAAAGCTTAGGCAGGAGCTTCAGCAGCAGAATTCACGGATGCTGGACAACCAGAAACAGCTGCAGCAGCTGCAGGTACCGATAGTCAGTCAGCAGCAGTAAGCCGCCAGGCAGCTGGAATGATATGAGAATATATAAGTTAGGACTTGTTGTAAATGATCAAATAAAGTGTAAATGCTTGTTTAAAATGTAAAAAGTAAAAAAGTAATGTGCATGTTTGCTTTAGCAGCAAAATAGCTGTGCTCCCATGAAATTTTCATTTAGCATATATAAACTGCAAATGATTCCTGTTACACGTTGGCTAAGTGTAGTAGTAGACTATAACATCGATGGAGCTTTTTAGGTGCTGAAGAAATAAATCATACAATGTTTAAATATTATAACTAATAGTGTACTACTACTATTGTACTATAATTGTTTAATTAATAACTTGATAACAGACATACAATAATCTTACAGGTTTATATTCACATACCTTTAAAATTTTTAACATTAGTATAATAATCTTTTTATATCGATTCAAACATGGTATGTAGTTCTTTACTGAGCAATAGTACAAACTAAGTATGTGTTTAGTACATCAACCATGTGTATTCGAAGTAACTATAGATGCTGCATGACATTGCTTCTTATATCTTATATTCTTTGCAGGAGAACTTGCAAAGAGTGGCACACCAACCAGTGCATGAAACAAATGGCAAAGTCGGCACAGGAACATCACAGGTGCAACTCCCTAATAATAACTCTCAAAAGCAAAGCAAGGTGTGCTCCCTTCAGTAAAGCCTTGTGGTATCAATGCACTATTATCATATGTGTACTTATGCGTGCAGGCACGTAGGGCTGCACGTTCAGTGCCCCATGCGCATGTAAGCTAGCCTATACTCGTATGTGCAAATTTGTATACACACTTCGTAGATGGGCAGGAGGCAGTACGTTGTATGATGTCATATCCCAACTGGGAGTCTTAGAAAGCCGTTTCTAGTTTATGGCAATATCTAAATTTAGAAATTGTTAGCCTATAACTTATGTACTGCAGTTTCACTTGCCTACTATTCTAGATAGTGCAGTTATAACGTTTATTGAGTAATGTATTTTCATCTGATAAAATAGTTGTTTTTTGTTTGCCCAGTTGATCACCTAATTTTATTATTGTTTATTGCTATAGATATTTTCAAGAGCGTATAAAGAAGGAGAGCGTACAACGGTGAAATGCTGAAACCATGTTGCAGTATTAGTCGAATTAAGAAAATTTTGCCCGTTTTATTTTGACGATTCTTTGCGGTATTATTGATCAGCTGTCCTACCTTGCTAATATAAAACAAACCGCTTGTCCCTACGATGCCCCTACGCTGAGTTAATGAGCGGTGAAAATCTGGTATTTTTGCCGAAAACCGACTCGAGATCCCTGTTTGCTGCGACCCTCTCTCGCTTTGTGGCCAGTGTGTTGGTTCGGCTGTGTAGCGCCATGGTAGCGCTGACTCATTACGTCAGTACTACAGAGTTTACTACATTCAGCGTGAGGTGGCCACATGTGGGTGTCATCACTATGACAATCGACAGAAGTCATTCATTCCATTTGATAATCATTGACGGAAACACGCGAGGTTTCCCGAAGTTATTTCAAAGCGAGAGACAGTCGCAGTCAGCAGGTATCTCGAGTCGGTTTTTGGCGAAAATACCAGATTTTCACCGCTTATTATCTCAGCGTAGGGGCATCGTAGGGACAAGTGGTTTGTTTTATATTAGCAAGGTAGGGCAGCTAATCAATAATACCGCAAAGAATCGTCAAAATAAAACGGGCAAAGTTTCTTAATTTGACTAATACTGCAACATGGTTTCAGCATTTCACCGTTGTACGCTCTCCTTCTTTATACGCTCTTGATATTTTGATTAGCCATGTTCTAATAAACACATGTTATTGTTACTACTAATCACTGTATAACTCAAGATACAACATAAACAACATACCTGTAAACAACACTAATAACGTTCAAGTTATACATACAGTATAACCACTCTAACATTCCTTCTATAGCAACTTTATGTATATATTGTTAGAATATCTGTTTATATGTGCTGGTTATAACACCTAGCAGATTATATTACACATTTTACAAACGCAGACACATATTTATTTTAATGTTATATGTAAATGGAATAAAGATATATGAGGCTTCTACTTTTTATCAATCGATTCAAACTTTGTAATTACTTAGTTTGAAGACATTGATTGTGTATATACTATTATTTTCACAAAATGCGTTTGTTACATATTGTAATAAACCCAAAATGTCAAGTGTACTCGGAGACAGCCCAGTTCTAGATTTTATTTGTTGCCTAAGTAAACTCTGTGTGTTTCTATGGCGTATAGTCTACATAGTCATTGGTAACGAAAAGTGCAACGTCTGTGATAAGAATATGTTTTGCTGTTTCACGTTAGCACAAATAAATATATTTTGATCTAAAAACGAACGTGGTTTTAAAACATTTTTTTTTGCACATTTATTGAAATCACGAGTAAAATGTGTAATTTATTAATAATGAAATTTGGTTATACGCGTGTTTTCACGTTTCCTAATGTGTTTAGAAAATAACCGTACTATTTGTCAAATTGAAATTAACTTCTGTTTGAAAGTCCAATGTAGCAGCAGCATATTAGGTAGTGGTGTGACATTTACTTCATTCAATCTAAGTGATATTTTAGCTGTACGTCAAAAATTGTTCTTTGACGTCCCTATACAGCAATATAATAAAAACTATAAGGAATCCGTGCAAGTGGTGCAAATTGGCTGAATTTGCAGAAACTCGGTGCGGCTGCTAAAATGGCTGCATAGGCTCTTATTTGTAGTATTGACTCGACTATACTTGACTTCTAAATGAATATTATGGTAGTCTGAATAGGCGAACGTTTCTTTATAACAGTTGCTCTGTTGCTAAAGGTAAAATTGTAAAGTTAGTCCCATTCTGTGATTTGATTCAGCAGTAGCCAATAATATCTCCGATTCGTTAACGGCGCCGTGTGTTATGCAACAGTCCTTACTAGCAGACTCTCTCTTTCTCCCCCCCCCTTCTTTCTCGTTCTCTCTCTATCTCCCCTCTCTCTCTCTCCCTCTCTCTCTCTCCCTCTCTCTCTCTCCGCGCTCTCTCCTCTCTCTCTTTCTCTCCTCTCTCTCTCCTTCTCTATCTTCCTCTCTCTCTCTCTCTCTCTCTCTCTCTCTCTCTCTCTCTCTCTCTCTCTCTCTCTCTCTCTCTCTCTCTCTCTCTCTCTCTCTCTCTCTCTCTCCTCCTCTCTCTCTCGTGGCTCTCTCTCTCTCTCTCTCTCTCTCTCTCTCTCTCTCTCTCTCTCTCTCTCTCTCTCTCTGTGTGTGTCTCTCATTCTCCCTCCCCTCTCACTCCCTCCCCCTTTCTCTTACTCTCCCTAACTCATTCTCTCCTTCCTTCATTCCTAACTGGTCGCAGTAGCCCGGGACTGGACATTTTCTCTCTTTCTCTTCCTCTCCCTCTCTCCCTCTTCCCTTCGCCCTCTTCATCACGTACAGTGAGAGAGTATGTACGAGTTAGAGATCTTTCCTGACAGATTTAAAATTCTCTAATTTATTTACGGGGGCTATGTATCGTATAGGCGACCTGCGATAAATTGCTTCACCACCTGTTCATCAAGGCTATGACATCGGTGCGTCGTAAAGCACAGTTAGCTTGGCTCACGAACATGACAGAGACAAGCTGTTTGTCTTATCGAATCATCCCACTAAAGCTGATTAATAATAATTTGTTAATATGTTTTTCATGATCAAATATTCATGACTATATTTATTGCAGGCAGTATCACCTATATCCAGCAAACATTTTCTTTCTCAAACAGAAGTAAATAAAGAATCTGTAGCAAGACACGTAACTTAACATCTGCCGGTGGACAGAGATACTCTATACATTGAATGACTCAACATAAACATATCACCATGGCACCAAAGCCATGTAAATTAAGCCCGGCCATGACATTATACCACTTTTGCGCTCGCCGAACTGCACCAAGTACAGTAAGTAAGTGGATTTTATACGATTCAGACCAGGACCTAATGACAAAACTGTTGTTATATTTATGCCTACCTACTATTTTACTGAAAGACTTTCTATTTATTATAAATGCATGCGAAATCTAACTGAACCGAATACTGCAATGGAAAGTGGGTATATTATAATCCTTCTCTTTACATATATAATAAATAAGAAATGCTCCCGGTCTTATCATTGCGACTGAAAACTGGACGCCATTGGCATTGTAAAAATTGCCATCGACAATTTTTAAAACAAAAAAACACCATCCCTGAGAATATTGAACCACAAAGTTATATGTGTGGCATTATTTAAACATGCGACTTGAACCTGATGTTAATGCTCAGCCTGGAAACCGGCGTGCCTTGTCGATGGCACACGTGACGGAAACCTGCCGTAATATATGTTTTTCTATTACAGCATCCGTCCGACAAGCGCATCTCAATATCACTCTTTAGAAGTATTTGGTAATCACGTGCTGACGTGCCGAACCGTGTGCTATGTTGAAGCGCTATATCATGTGTGTGTACACGCGACACTACTAATCCGCAAAGACTGCATGGCGCGCATCTACTGCCAGCACTTACGCACATGCAAAAACTGAAACCACATCCCTTCTGCCAATATATGAGTCTAGCGCATCTTTTGTGGACACGCCATGGAAATTGGAATACTGAAGACAAAACTTAATACTAAAACCCCGACGCTTTCGATTTAATTTTTCTTTTGAGTGAAATACCCTGGTATTGGTGGAAGAGTATAGGTCTGGCAGCCTAGTATATAGACTTTGAAGTTTTGGTTAAATCTGCAGAAGCAGTGCGTGAATTCTACTAGCTCTTACTTAATTGTTTAAATGTGCTGTTGAATTGCCTGCGATAAAAACAAAAGATCGCTCGTCCGGTCATGATTATGGTTACCATTAGCATCAACACGGCTGACACTGATGCTCATTCATTCACACGGGCACGCGCTATTTGCTGACATATTGCGAGCGTGATGCTGCTTTGTTATTCGTTAATGAGATTTGATTTGAACGCGGGGAAGACTCAGAGAATGATACCGCGGATATTGCAAATTGCGTGGGACTGTAAATGCCCGTGCGTCAGTGCTCGTGCGTGCTTGCGTGCCTGGGTAGTGCGTTCATGTTGCGTAAATATACGTGTTGTGTCTGTACGCGCGTGCTTGCGCGTGTGCGTGCGTGTGCCCGCGCGTGCGTGGGCGCGTGCGCGCGTATGTGAGTGAGTGAACGAGCGCGTGAGTGAGTGAGTGAGTGAGTGAGTGAGTGAGTGAAGTCACTCAGTCCAGCCAGTCAGCCAGTCAGTCATTCAGTCCCTTGCTTATTAGAGGAGTATTAGTTAATCATTACTAGTAATTAGTACGCGCCGGCGCGTGTTTCTCCTACCATACAACTAATATTTATACTAACTAACTATATAAAGCAATAATAAGTTAATTGATGATGTCTTATTCCAATGAGCTAAACATCCGTTAATTCAATCTTCATTCATGCTTTAAATCACTATACTGATGACACGACATACGTCCTATATCGCCATCTCCGTTATTCTACTATATACCATTTATGTTTCCTTTCTATAAATTCCCGTTGGCTTGCTTACATGTGATATTACGACCACCCATCTTCAACGTACAACTTACGAGAGCATAATTATTTGACTACCTTCCTTGATTGCCCTTGATATAACTCTACCGGTGTAAGCCCTTCGCCTTCTGTAGCGGGAGCGAAGGGCTACACTGGTAAGAGCCACTCTTCATAGTGACCACATGCAAATGCTGCAGTGTTACAGCATGAATATAATCAGGGGTTAATAATGACAAATGCCATATTCATTAAATAATAATTATTCATTAATAAAATAATTAATTAATTCATAATTAAACAATATTCATTAAATAATAATGACATATGTCATTAACCCCTGATATAACAGGGGTTAATAATGACAAATTTGTCATTATTAACCACTGATATAATTATACGAACACATGGATTGTGTTTGTATATATATATGGTTACAGTTAGTTGCGCCTTTTCAATACGTCTGCAACACTGTAGCGGCTAGTGATGAGATTCGACTCAAATGCACAATTCTATAATCGCAGCACAC